GGTGGGATTGTCGATGAAATAATGTGAATACATCTCATATAACTGATTTACTAATAATAAACTTATAAACGAATAATAAGTAACGTATTCGATTGTTATAGCAAATATAACTTTGCTTCATCGACTATCCCACCAAAGATTGTGATATGGGAAAATGCCCGGCCTTCCTTGAAATTCACATCTGCCCTTTGACCCAAGGGCACTCGTTGCAATGTGGTGGAGTGGTTAATATGTCAAGCTTATACGCTGCACTTTCATGGTTCGAATCCCGCTGGAGGTGTTGATATGACCTAAGCTAAGTCAAAACAACTTTTGGGAAAGCAAGGCCATGTACAATTTAATGGAAACGTCAACCCTACTCATATCATTGTGGGAAAATTCAACTATCCGTCCTTTATCATCTTAAACGGAATTGGGTGAATACATCTCATATAACTGATTTACTGATAATCTCTAACCTGCTTATAAACGAAAAATATTACAGAAATTTTTTGACATAGTTTTCGCAACTAGGTCATATTGGCAGGAAGACCAAGAGGAACGCACCTTGTCCGGAATCCATAGTATGCATGATATTAATTTCCAGAGTCGGACTGTGGACTTGACACAATCTCAGACGTTTCGTCAGCATCGTTAGTGAGCCTTGCCATTAGCATCACACCTGTCGGCGAAACGTCTAGGAATGTATTAAGTCCACGGTCCGATTCAAAATTATCATACATAATATGGACTCCGGACAAGATGGGTTCCTTTAGGTCTTCCTGTCAATATGATCAAGTTGCAAAACAAGGTCAAACAATTTCTATACTACGAAAGGATACCGCGACAAAACTAAAAACTACACCATCTTGGTCTTCATACCATAGCTGAATTTATTCTGATTCTCATTTAACTTCGCTGAAACCTTATCCTAATTTATTTGTTTATATTCCCAGCCAATTATCTAATGAGTACGAATCAATCTGTTTTCTTACAATTTAAAGCGTTTTCAGTCTATTCATAATCGTAAACATATCTTAGTCAGGGTGCTTAGTTGGGGATATATATTGAGTATTTGGTGTGCGTTTAGTGCTAAAAATAAATAGGAAATATATCGGTGTTTTTTTATTATTTCATTAAATTGCATTCGTTCTTTATTTAACCTTACGCTACGATCGTCAACACTCTAATTTTACTAATTTTTTATTAATTAATTTGCTTTATAGATCAGAATGGTGTATTGATCAGTGAATCTAAAGAGACCTGTAAATATTCACGACCACCAATGCAGAATCTTAATCGCAAAATTAATGAAAAGAGCTTAAATAACGAAGCAGTATCTTCCAGCTCTCTTGAATCTAGTAAGGATTTGTTTACTCAATCTGTTGAAAAAGGTATAGAAGGAGCAGATCAGAAAGAGCCTTCCTCCTTGCCGCCATTTATTCCTGAGACATTTGACATAACGCCTATTTGGAAATCTGAGGTATTGCCCTTAGATTTTGTCATACCACCTGGTATTATTTTTTCCATTATATTTTCCATATTTCCGATTCTCCCTTCTATATATTTCATAAATAGATGACTCGACTACGTTTTTGAGACCACTAATAGATCTTTTATATATAAGATATATTCACTGTATTTTATTAAATTCACATTAAACATAAATATTTTATATTATAGAAGTGGGTTGACCTCGTTTTCGCAACTTGGTCTTGTGTTCAGGGAGACTTTGTAGAACGCACCGAGTCCGAAGTCGTCTGCCATAGTAGTTGTCTTGATTCCCATCATCTGACAATCGTAGTCGGCATCATCAGTCAGTTTTGCCATTCTCCGCACCAAGCTACGAACTCGTCAAAGAGACAAGTTTGATGATGCCGACTACGATGCCGA